TCAGGGTCTAAACCGGGTCCTGCCCGAGCAGCGGTGGGCCAGCGAGGCCGTGCGGCTGCATCCTGGCTCTCATCTGCCGAGCCCTGCCTGCCCGGGCAGGAGCAGAGCTGGGTGCGATGCTCAGTTTTGCATTTCTCGCAGCCTGGGTCGTGCCGCTGTCCCTTTGCACGACGGGGGGAGCTGTGCGAGCTGGCTGGCGACTGCATTCGGCTGTGGGTGCTCAGATGTCTTCTGAGCACTGTGCTGGGAGCACGGCACACCCGAGGGCTATGTGTCGCCTTCTCTGCCCTAGGCCGCGGCCAGACTTCTTCTATCGATGCTTCCCGGACGGACGAGCGAACGTGGAGCTGGTGTGCACAGGCGACCCGAGCATAGTGACTGAGGGACGCAAAAGCTTCCCCAGCGGACATGCTTCGTGTAAGTTTTCCATGTCTCCTACCCACTGCAGCCCCAGGCAGTGAACCGTGTGGAGCAGAAGCTCATGGGGAGGGCAGCTTGGGTTTGCTTTCATGCACTCCGTGGCTTTGGCTACATTCATTGGCCTGTTGGGGGGTCTCAACTTTCCCTCTGCAAAGCAATGGGATCACAAATGTAATGAGATGCTGTCTGTAGCTCCTGGGAGGAGGGATGCCTGCCAAGTACCCTACGGCTCCTCCATTGCTCATGAGCTTGTGCTTCCCTTGTCTCGTGTGGGCAGGACAGATGTCCTCTTGCAACCCTTCTACTGATTCAGGGGAGAGGGTGAAGGATGAGGGCCCGTGGCAGAGCCCGGAGCCGTTTCTGAAGCGACACGCTTCTCTTTCAGTCGCCTTTGCTGGTCTCGCCTTCTCCGCCTTCTACATAGCCGGGAAGCTGCGCTGCTTTGCTCCCGGCCGGGGAGGCAGGGCTCTGCTGCTCTGCTCCTTCCTCCTCCCGCTCTCCCTCGCCCCCCTCATCGCCGCATCCCGCACCTGCGACTACAAGCACCACTGGCAAGGTGAGTCGGCATCTGCCTGCGGACCTGGACGGGGGGCGCACAGCCGGGTGCCCTGAGCGGGGGCACTCTGAGCACGGGGCGGGGGTCGATGCTGCCGCAGAGGAGTTCAGAGCCCACGATGGCAACCTGGGTTTTTGGATTACTCCTCCAGTGGGTTGTTTTGGTTTTTTTTTGCTGCCTGCGAGGTGATGATGCCTTTCTCTTTGTTTTTAAATATATGCCAAGCTTAGTCTTCTAGCCAAGGGTCAAGTTGCTGATCCAGCTCAGCTCTGAGCAGGCTGAAGAGGCGCCTGCTGGAGAATTCAATCATGAAGCTTGGGAGGGTAAAGGGAAGGTAACTCTCCTCCGGTCTTGCCCACAGATGTGTTGGTTGGCTCAGTGATCGGCTTTGTGCTCGCGTACCTCTGCTACAGACAGTATTACCCTCCTCTGATGGACTCCATGTGCCACAAACCATTTCTGTACAAATCCAAACAACTGCCAGCGCACCCAGAAAAGCCTGCAGCTTCCAGCTTTCATCTGGATATATAGTGATGGGCTCTGTCCTGCCAGCACCTTTCCTGCTGCTCCTTGAGTGCTCGGGCAGGGGAAGGCTTTGGGGAGGTTGGTCTGTGAGAAGTGGCTCAAATGAGGATGAACCTGAAACCCAAGCAGGCATTCTCTGCAGTGCTGGTAAGTTGTCCTGCTCAGGGACCTGTGTTGCTCCATTTAACTGAATTTTTTAGGCGTCCCTCCCTTTGGGTCCCACTATGAAGCAAATGAGGCACTTGGCGTGCAAGCCTGCAGGACAGCACGGGTCTGAAAGGGCCTGAAGCAAGAACTGGAAAAATGTGACAACCTGGTGTGCCCTGTCCAGTGGGTCATCTTGTGTCCGGTCCAGAAAGCACCATCAGTCACCTCCCTTCATTCCAGCCCAGCTGTCCCATCCCTTCTCGTGGCAAGTGTATGTCAAAATGAACTGCAGGACCTGCTCCTGGCGCCGGGTTTGAGTCCATCTTTTCAATCACAGCTGAGTTAATTTGGAGTAATGAGCATGAGGTTGCAGTCTTTAACCATGGATTAAGTGGGGAAGAGGGAAGATGAAACTAGCGTGATCGTTATTTGTATCATTGTGCTAGCCCTGATTTTTTTCTAATTCGCCAAATAAAGGAGTTTAATTTTTTTAATGAGCTGCAGCACTAAAAACTTTACTTCAAGGACTGGGTGTTTGCTGTATGAGCCATTTCCTTTGGTGCGTCTGCAGGGCTTTCTAGGTGGGTGTTTATTTTGTATCTCTTTCCTTGCAGCTTTAACATGATTGTAAAGAGATGACAATCAGCAGAAAATGAAATGGTGTCTGAAAGCATCCCTTCACAGGTGCTTGTTCCCCTACACCACGGTTTGTTTTCTCAGACAATGGAAGGGTAGGGTGCTGCTGAGAAATCCAAGGCACAGCTGTATGGCAGGACTGTTGTAAGTAGTTATTTGTCACTCGTCTCCTCCGTAGATATGTGTATTTTTGATCACGTGTATGTACTGCAAAGGCGAAGCTGTAGCGGAGCGAGGCACGTGTGCCTCTGCCAAGCTCAGGATGTGACAGTAACGAAATCGCCAACCCCATCACCTTCAGTTTGGGCCATATAAGCCCTCTATGATCCTGCAACTTCAACAGAAGTTACAGCAATAGCTTTAATTTCCCCTAAAACTGTGCCTGTGTGCATTCTTCAACCCCCTCCCCTCCTTCTCCCCCCAAATATGCACACACCACAGTCATCTACTTATTTATTTTGGCTTTTACTGGAAAAGACATTAAATAACATTTAAAATGTATTTACCTTTTTTTTTTTTAACAAAGTGCATAACTTAAAAAGCTGATCATTAGAGTGTCCCATGTTAAGACTGTTCCTTTTCCTACTCTTGTAGGAGACGCTTTAGCAATCAGTAGTTCAGGCGCCGTCTGAGCAGCATGTCTGTTCCTGCAGTCAGGTAAAAGAACAGCTTCTGTTCCTTTGGGATGGGAGGAGGGATGTAGGCTGCAAACAAAACCTTTCAAATAGTGCAAATAATGTAGTACAACAGAGGACAAACAAACAGGCTGTGGAAAAAAAGGCTCCTTACCCCATGCAGGGCGAAAGTCAGTGGGAGGGAAAGTGGTTTGGCTCTTCCAAAGGCTGTCGCAGCAGCGACCTCGCACATCACTGAAGCCTCTGCCTCGCCACGAGGGTCCAGCCTCAGCCCAGCCGGCGAGTCAGCCCGGGGAGGTTTGGGTGGCCAGGGAGGGATCACCGGGGGCTCTGGCCCCGTCCCCCTTGCAGCAGAGCTGGCACACCACAGGCAGCTGCCGACGCACTGCCTGCAGAGCTGGGGCCGTTCCTTCAGCAGGTCTGTGGGACGCACTGTCCCGACCCTACGGATGTGGGCTCCCGCTTGGCTGCCTGCGTTTTGTGTATTTAAAACCGAAGAACGACCTGAGCCTGGCTGGCGGGAGATCCCCGAAAGCCACCCTGAAAGCCACCCTGCAGCAGGACGGTAGCGCTGCTCCGTGCCCCTGCAGAGCAGAGGAGGGCTGTCCCTCCAGAACTCCAGACTGCCTGGATGCTGCTGGGGAGCAGCTGCGTCCCCCCAGCAGAGCTCTGCTTTGACCTGGAGGTGAAGCTTTCCTCCCATATAGTCACACCCGGCCGCTAGCTTGGTCCTACGCGAGATGCAGGCAGTGCCTCGGGGAGGCCCTGGGTTTGCCGTGGGATGGGTGAGGATGCTGAGAAGTCACTACCAACCCATTACAGCAGGCAGGCACGAGCGCCCGGGTCAAGTGCGCACAAACACGCCGCTCTCACGAGGTGTTTTATGGGGCAGTCCTGCCTGGCACGGCCCATGGGTGCACACACCATGCAGCAGCAATTCAAGGAGATGAGAATGGCTGGTGGACACGTTCCTGCTCGCTTCGCAGCAGAGGCCGGTGGCCTGGGCTTCGCCTCCCAAAGACCGCAGTCCTCACGCCTGGTGCTCTGTGTTATGGCAGGGAGAAGTCAGCAATCTCCTTCGCTTGCCAAGGCTGCTACAGCTCTCTCCACGCTGCGTGTTTAAGGCTTTTATTCCTCAAGGTCACAAGCTGCGAGTTTCCTTACTATGCCAGGAGCAGTCTGGCCCTCGGTGGCAGTTCCTAGCCCAGACAGCTAGTGTGCTTCGGTGTGAGAGGAGCTAGTGTGATAACTTACAAGGTGGAGGGTTAAAAGTACACGTTGCCACAGGGAGTCACGATGCAAGTGCTGTGTGTGTTTGAGCAGAAGTGTTTTCCCTTGATATTTCTTCCCCCCGCCCCTACCCAAAATGGAGGAAAATCATCCTTATCTCCAGGTAGCAGCAAGTACTTGAGAAACAGCATGCGGGGGACACAGCAGCAGAGGAGAGAGGAAGGCAGAGAAGAAATCTGGACTTTCCCGGTGAGTACTCAGTTCAACTGGTTCTAAGAAAGCAAAAGGAGAACATGGGAATAGCTGCACTGGGGCAGACAAAAATCCACCCAGCTCAGCCTCCCGTACCCAGCAATTACCAGCGTAAGGCTTCGAGGGCGAGAAAACAGAGATGCGCCTCACCCCTAGGCTACTCTCGGCCAGCAATTAGCAGCAGAGGGTGAAAGCAGCCCTGCAAGAACCGCAGGGTCCACGCTCTGGTTTGCTACCTGTCTGCAAGAAATGTTTAGCCCAGGATGCTTGGAGTATGGGCTACACACTGGTCGTTCCCTCGGGGGACTGAACTGATCATAACTGCGCACGGCTGAGCCGCCCTTATCGGCAGCAGCAGCAGTTTATTAGCGCTCCTCCTGTCCGATAGTGCTTGTGTGCAGGATCGGAGGAAAGAAGCCAAACGTGCTGACAGGCCAAAGAAAAAACCCGACAGAAACTCCTGCCTTCGTCACAGCGCTGTAAATAAGGGATGTTATCCCCTCAAACAGACCAGGTGTCCTGTGAGGTGACCTAGGAAATTCGGAAGGAAGGTGTAGGCAAGGTGACTTACGTCAAGCGGCCGGCACAGCACAGGTTGGTCACTGGCTCCCTGGCAAAGGCTGATCCAGCGTAATGCCTTGTGTCTGGTAGATCTCCTTCAGAACCAGCAGGACGGTGTCTTCTGACTCCCTGCAGGAGGAGGACACGGGAATTAGAGGGGGACACTTCCCTCCACTCTGTCGGGACATGTGTGGTGGTTATGGGGCAGATGCGGCACTCGGCAAATGCTGGCAGTACCAGGCAAGGAGAACGACAATGGTCTCCTTCCTCTGTCCCTACCCGCCTGCTATGTCTGCCTTACAGGCAGAATACCTTGTTTACTCAGTTAAGGCTTTTCTTACAACATTGGCTTTAAAAATGATGGCGTTCTGCTTACATCAGACACAAATTCGAAGCTTTGACAGTTATACAGAAGCTTACCAATAGCAGAGATGCCCCTGTAGTGCAAATAAATACTCGTTAAAGCTCTCTATTGGCTTCTCCTGCAGCACGTAGTCTATGCGATTCCCTCCGTTCAGCCTCCCCACATTAATGAGAGAGACCTCTTCCTTCACTGCTGCGGGGGGCTCTTCTGCCTTTGTCTCTGAAGAAATAAAGAAGAGAGGTGTGGTTCAGCCAAGGGGCAACAGCATCACTGTGCCCTCCCTTTGCCCCACTGTGGGCTCTTGCCGAGGAGGGGCAGCTTAAGTGCTCGGTCCTTCCCCCCCAGGCTTCTCCCGCTCTTGGAAAACGGGATTGCAGGAGACAGCTAGAGAAGGGGGACAGGCTTGGCCGGCTTACAAAGCTGTGTGGGTGTGCGGAGACCCCCAGCAGGCCATTACTGACCAGGCAGGTTGCCTCTCCTCCCCCGTCATCAGGCAGTAAGAGGGGAAGGTGGCAGCATCTGGAGAGCCGAGTGCATCTGCAGCTCAAAGGCGGTCCCTTTGCTGAGCGTGGAAGAGGGTGGCAGTGCCTGGGGCTG